TCATATGACCTTGGCTGTTGTCTCCCTAGGCACCCGTCCTCATATGACCTCTGCTGTTGTCTCCCTAGGCACCTGTCCTCATATGACCTTGGCTGTTGTCTCCCAAGGCACCCGTCCTCATATGACCTTGGCTGTTGTCTCACTAGGCATCCGTCCTCATATGACCTTGGCTGTTGTTTCACTAGGTATCCGTCCTCATATGACCTTGGCTGTTGTCTCCCTAGGCACCCGTCCTCATATGACCTTGGCTGTTGTCTCCCAAGGAACCAGTCCTCATATGACCTTGGCTGTTGTCTCACTAGGCATCCGTCCTCATATGACCTTGGTTGTTGTCTCCCTAGGCACCCGTCCTCATATGACCTTCGCTGTTGTCTCACTAGGCATCCGTCCCCATATGACCTTGGCTGTTGTCTCCCTAGGCACCCGTCTTCATATGACCTTGGCTGTTGTCTCCCTAGGCACCCATCCCCATATGACCTTGGCTGTTGTCTCCCTAGGCACCAGTCCTCATATGACCTTGGCTGTTGTCTCACTAGGTATCCGTCCTCATATGACCTTGGCTGTTTTCTCCCTAGGCACCTGTCCTCATATGACCTTGGCTGTTGTCTCCCTAGGCACCCGTCGTCATATGACCTCTGCTGTTGTCTCCCTAGGCACCCGTCCTCATATGACCTTGGCTGTTGTCTCCCTAGGCACCCATCCCCATATGACCTTGGCTGTTGTCTCCCTAGGCACCCATCCTCATATGACTGTTGCGAAGACGTTAAACCCCAAACAAACATTTTGTTACCCAATGATGAAAAGGCCAAAGGGAACTCACTTTTCAATAATCTTCTGAAGTTTTCATGTTTAATCATTTTTGTGACCTAGAGGTATCTTTCAGTGTCTGGGACCTATTGGTAGAAAGCTGATTTGATGCTTAGTTGTTAAAGTCGACAAATTGTGAATATTTTCCGTGAAAGTTAACGAGATTACTTATTGAGATATTTCTTGCACACATAATTTCACAATGTCACCTTTCTGTACTTACTTGCAAGGACAAAATACTGTATACTGGGAAATTTTTGCCCTTCATCAATAAAATCCATTTTCGCTCAATATGAAATTTTCCCTTAACTTTGTTTAGTATGTCGTTCACAAAATGTTCGCTATAAAGATACATTTACAATCATTACGGTGGGAGAAAATTAAACAACACCGAAAATTCCCCGTTCACAGTACTTACTTGTGGAACAGTTGTTTGAGTGATGCTGAAATTCATAATTGATGCTTAAAAAATATTTGAAATGAAACAACATTCTCAAGGCAAGAAATAGTAGGCAGTAAAATCTTCATCAGAAGTATAATGCTCACATTTAAATACAGATGGGACTCTGGGATCACAGGTCCAGGGGTCAAAGTTTAACATGTGTTTTAAAGCTGATTGAAATAAAATTTACTTCATTGCTATGTATTCTCAATTTTTGTTATTCCATTCAATAAGATAAGACCATGGGTAAGGTTACGTATAAAGTAAAGTTACGGAAAAATGTATGATGATACAGGCCCAATTAACCTACTCATCCCTAAAATCACAATTAAACCTTACCAAATCAAGGACTGGGCAAGGCCATTTTAAATATGTAGGGGTGAATGAGTTAAAGGGTCTCATTGATCCCTATCAATCTGTGTCTAACATGCCATGTACACAGCCTTTTCTTGTTACAGTTTTTGGATATTGGACGGGTAACCAGTGTGGAGGCTAACCACAAACACGTTGACATTGCCAGGAAAGGAATGGAGGTGTGCATTAAGGTGGAGCCCCTTCCAGGGGACACTCCCAAGATGTTTGGTCGACACTTCGATGAAACAGACATGCTCACGAGCAAGGTAAGATAACGTACATTTTTCAGACAATACTGGGCACAGACTCATGCCAAAGTTAATGTTACAAATGTGTTTTTGTAATTTTATTAATTTTTACCTTTTTTTGTAGTGAAATTTCAGTTGAAACACTTTTGAAACAAGAATTTTCATCATGAAAGAGAATTGTCTGAATTTTCTTTCATAATAATAATAATGTTCATAATTTTTCGTTACGTTGTTTTCCAAATGTGATGTTGATCTGATTGTCAAATTTTCTTCAAATTTTACTTCAAAGAACAAAAAGGTGCAACAAAAATAATTTCCATTGAATGTTTGATCTTTTCTCGAATTCATTTGAATTGTAAAACTAAAGGTATGGTGATAGAAAAATTCATAAATTCTCATATATGGTGAAATGTTTGTTTCAAAATCATCGCCATAAGGTTAACGGAAATTCACTGAAAAGATGTAGAAATGCATGAAATATAGAGTGGAAAACCGTTTGTGACCTTTTATTTATGGCATGGGACTGATCTTGTGGCCACGGTATGGTTATGACAGCCTTATACATTAATGCTGATGTGGGAAAGTGTTACTGTAACATCATTCCATTTGTGTGAAAACAGGAAATGGTTATTGCTTATTCATGCAGATATTGTGTTTTTGTCAATTCTTGAGATTTTTGAGATTTAAGTGAAGCTTTTCAGGTGTGTAAATCTGATTTCGGTTACATCAGTGTCATCTAACATCAGCTAGCACAAAGTGCCTCCAGCTTAGGCACAATTAGCATTCGGCCTCAGTTGTCAACAAATTTTCTTAGGAATTAGCGTTCATACAATAAACACTGTACGGCCTTTCAAACCTGTATGCTGGAATAAATGTGCAACAATAAAAAAAAGTCAATGCAAATATAAAGGCATATGGAAGTTTTACTTTTGTCATCATGTGATATTTATGTCCAAAATACCTGTGGTATTAATTCTCTTACTACTACTGAAATGGCGTAGTGTTTACGTACCTACCCTCGTGAGAGGCAGCCAGAAATAAACAGAAACTTGCACGGCTCCACTCCTGTAACATCCTGCCATTCATGCAACTGCATTACCCTATTTTCTCTAGGCCACCATTCTGGATAGTCACTACTGAGTTCATGGTGACCAATTAAGCAGATTTCTTGTGTTTTTTTAATAAATAAAAAAAACGTCAATTCTTTCTATTATATACATTAATATTAAGTTGCTCTACTCGGTATGAGTGATAAACCAAGCCCATTGGCAATTTAGCCAATCGAGGACTCGGCGAGATAATCGGGCATTGGCAGGTTTTACGGATATTCCGATCTCGGCCCGATACTCTCTCCGACCCGATATTCTCCCCCTTGCACCATGGCTAACAGAATTAGACATACATGCCAAGAAGGATCGTCTTTACTCACCTTCTGTGATAAAGACAGAGATGGGGAAAAGATTACCCCCCTTAAGAGGATTTTGTCGCCATTCACCTCCAGGACAAAGAGGAAGGGGTTATTAAGCAAGGGGCAGACACCCCTAACAGGGACCATCAACCCTCTCTGGTGAATGCTCTATACAAGCCTAAGCCAGTTGGATCAAACAAACCTCCCTCCCGAAGAACTTGATGCCTCTGAGGTATTCAAGGTTTTTCTGATCGCCCCAAAGCTTTGTTTGGATCCCTCTCATACTCCTTCAAAACTTAGGGCACAGCTCAGACTCCCCTCATGGCATCCCTGAGACCTAGTACAGAGAGAGTCAACGCAGATCAATACCGAGTCCTCCGTAGCTGGTGTAGTGAGGGAGTATCAATCCCCCTCTTGCTTCTTTGATGGATGTACTGAATTTTCTAGCTCATCTATTGATTCGGGGAAACAATACAGAACTATCTGTGTCTACAGGTCCATGTAGGTTTGGTGTTCCTGAGGAGAGCAATGTAGGTTTGGTGTTCCTGAGGAGAGCAATGTAGGTTTGGTGTTACTGAGGGGAGCAATATAGGGTTTGTTGTTCCTGAAGAGAGCAATGTAGGTTTGGTGTTCCTGAGGAGAGCAATGTAGATAACACCAAACCCTACATCTCTCTCTCCCAGGAACACCAAACCAAACGTTTCTCTCTTAAGGAACACCAAAACTTGCAACTCTCTTCTCAGGAACACCAATAACTGCAATGCTCTCCTCAGGAACACCAAACCCTACATCTCTCTCTTAAGGAACACCTAACCCTGCATCTTTCTGCTCAGGAACACCTAACCCTGCATCTTTCTGCTCAGGAACACCTAACCCTGCATCTCTCTCCTAAGGAACACCAAACCATGCAACTATCTCCTCAGGAACACCAAACCCTGCAACTATCTCCACAGGAACACCAAACCATGCAACTATCTCATCAGGAACACCAAACTTTGTATCTCTCTTTTCCAACACATCAAACCCTGGTATATCTGTCCCAGGTATCTCTCCCACTCTCTAAACCCTGTCATGAAGGGGTTATATTTCTGAGGTATCTCTGGTAGTATGGGATCTGTGGGACTATCTGGGACCCTAATAGTATCAGGATTTGTGGGATTAGCCAGGACCCTAATAGTATCAGGATTTGTGGGACTAGCCGGGACCCTGTTTGTATCTGGATCTGTGGGACTATCTGGGACCCTGGTAATATTAGGATCTGTGGGACTAGCTAGGACCCTAATAGTATCAGGATTTGTGGGACTAGCCGGGACCCTGTTTGTATCTGGATCTGTGAGACTAGCCAGACCCTGGTAATATTGGGATCTGTGGGACTAGCCAGGACCCTAATAGTATCAGGATTTGTGGGACTAGCCGGGACCCTGTTTGTTTCTGGATGTGTGGGACTAGCCGGACCCTGGTAATATCTGGATCTGTGGGACTAGCCAGGACCCTGGCTGAGCTGTCAGCTGTGACAAGTGATTTCCGGTGACAACAATTATCAGCTACATTCACTGTGTGCCATGTTCCCCACTGTAGTCTGAGTGACAGCCAGTACTAGAGTAAGGTAGTCTACAGTACAGAGATGGGTTAGTTCAGGGCTGGAAAGTGCATTTTAACCCATTCACCCCTAAAGTCATATGTAAACCTCACCAATATAGAGGCGGGGCAAGTCCAGTTTGAATATATAGGGGTGAATGAATTAGCATATGTATACCCGTCCCGCGTCCAGGGTCTATCGACCTGCTGTCAAAGATCAAGTAGTCCAAAAAAGCATCAAGGTGAGCTGTAGTCGTACCATAATATTTGTCTGATAACCTCTTACACAGCTTCTTCTTAGGTACCATGAGGCCAAGAGTAATGGTATTGTGCCTTTTACTTGATAGGCGTAAATGGCTATCAACTGTGTATAAATAAATCAATTTGAACATATTCAAGGTCACAGGGGTCAAAAGTGTTCAAAACTTAAAATGACTTCTTAAAAACCATATCTGGAGTGTTGCTATTTGCCCTGTAGCTTGTTGAGGTGAAGTACTTATAATAATGGTTTTATAACTAGTTATAAATCATTTTGTCCTACATTCAAGGTCATAGGGTAAAATGTTGGTTGTTTTTTTTTATCAGTCAATCAAGTGAACTCTGGTTGATAAAAGAATTATATTTGGGGAACTATTTTAAAAGGTTTTTTAATTTTCAAATAACCTTGAGTGTCATATAAAGGGTCACAGGAGTTAGATGTGTTTGATTCCTCTTACAGCTTCTTCTAATGAATTATGAGGTCTATAGTACTTTTGATGAATGACCTTTACACCATTCTAAGTCAAACTGATCAAATATGTTAAAATCTGAAACTTGAGGCCTACCAAATGATGTATTGCCTATAATTTTCTGTTGTAAATGGCTGTTAAGAACATTCAAATAAATGACCTGCACTCAAGGCAATTAGTCAAATCTGTGAAAACAATCGTCAATCAATATCTTGAACCATGAGATTGGTTTGGTTTGGTTTAGTATTGTTTAATGTCCTAACAACAGCTATGGTCATTTAAGGACGGCCTCCCCTGTGTGCAAGAGACCTGAAGAAATGTTGTTTTTCTGTAGCTTGCTGATGTGAAGAGCTATCAAATTTGTTAAACAATTACCTTGACCAAACTTCAAGGTCACAAAAACCATGTGTCAAACTTTCATCTCAAGAACCACAAAGCCTGAAGTCAAACTCTTTCTCGGGTGAAGTGCTATAAAAAGATTATCCAAATAAGTTAATTTCTGAATAGATATTCATGCTCAAGACTATTTCTATAAATAACTTTGATCTACAGTGACAGAACTATCAAAGTCTAATGGACCCCAAGGTCTAATTTACTGATATTACAAAGGTCAAGCTTCAAACGATAATTCTCCAAGTTTTTCAGCATTAAATATATTTTGTCAACATCATTAGATATCAGGTGACTTATACAGGCCCTGTGGGCCTTGTGGCCTGGTATACTCTGTTGACTTATTAATAACCTTTACTTGGCAACTATTCAACAATTTAAGCCAGAGCTAAAACGGTTTACTTGACCTTCAGTGTATAATTTCGAGGAAATGTTCTGGGTTTTTTTATTTTAAAGCAGGCACAGGGTACTCTGGTATATATCTGTATGTCACATTGTCCAATACGGAACCTTCTTACCAGGGGTCATGATTTGTGAAAAAAAATAGTTCAGAGGGATGATGAAAGTTTTAGGAAAATAGAATTACTGATGTAATGGCGACGTGGATCAGATCTGCACCAGAAAACAGTCGGGTTCACGTTCGTCCACATTTCAATTAGGCAGGGGAAAACATTCACTTTGGTTGTTTGTTGATCCCCGAGATCAGAAATCACACCTACGCTGATGTTGTTGTCCAGAATGGAGTAGGAGTGTAAGTGTGTGTTATTATTGTAAACTAGGGACAGCCAGGCCCCTGGTCAGGTTATCTACCTACAGCTCTGTGTACCTGTCATCCCACCGCTGACACTACATATGGCCAACAATCTATTTCTTATAAACTTTTGGCAAGTAAAAAATGGATTTTGTTCATGTTCGTTTCTATTTCACTAGCTGGCCTTTGTGCACTGTTGAATAAAAACAAGTAAGATGAGCTAAAAGACAAACACATATTGTCAAGTTGACATAGTTTTGCATGAGCAACTCTGTGTTGGTTTGTAAGCCTGTTTTGGTGAATACGAAATTAGAAGTAGGCTGATCCGGTAAATATAAATTCTTCCCTTCATCAGGTACTTTTAGTATTTTAATCACCTATGTATGTATACTGTGTGTTGTCACAGAATTCAGTAAATCACAGCGGGCCATCAGCTGACACATACATCCTTCAAAAGTGCAGGTGATTTAGCGGGGTCAGTCGGTACATATCTTCGAGGAATTCCTTGGATGTTGTTTACAATGAACCCAAGTTCACTTTTCCATGTAGTAAATATGTGTGTTGTAACTACTCATAAATTACCTTATTGCTTGATAGCTCAAACGGATTTGTAGATATATCTTCTGTCAGGGGCATGAAGTAGATATTAGCTACTGAATAATTTTATTACTTTTTAAAAGTGAAAATTATGTTTGATCTGCCTGTCAATAAGTCTAAATGAAATTTTTCATGTTTGGAATAAATTTATTACATTTTTAAACAAAAACGTACACAGTCTGCCATTGTTAGTTACATTATGTGTTGTGTACAGGTATATGTCACTTAGTTTAAGTAAATAATGTTATTTCCGATCCTGAAGTATAATTGACTGTCATTTAATGTCCTCAAATGGACATTGTGTGTCCGAGTATTTTAAGATATTTACATAATGCCTAGTCCTCTATCTCCACCCAAGGGTGCTCTTTATAAGGAGCATACGCTGGCCTGTTTTCTACAAATACACTGACCTCAACTGTCTACAGAACATTTTCAACGTGTGATCTATAATCATAAATGATAACAATGTCATTTTATTGACGTGAAACTTAAAAAAGAAAATGCACTGTCAGACTTTTTGGCCAGTAAATGTCACAACTTTTGGAGGCCATGTTTTTTTAATGGCTTATATATATATACTGTGTATAAAAACAATCTTGAATTTGTTTTTCTTCACATGAACACAAATAAACCAATTCTTGTCCTAGAGAGTCAGGATATATGCTAATTGAATGGAGATGTTTCTTCTTGACAAAAGAGTTCCAATTTTAGAATTTAAGAAACCTGTCAGATATTATTATACAACACCTTACACACACACACACACACACACACACATACACACACACACACATTTTCATGGGGGGGGGTATCTCTTTTTCTGTGGGTGTCCTTTTGTGTAAACTTTCTAAGGTCACGGTAACTTTGAAAGGTCAAGTGTATATGCTCAAGGTGACTTTGTAAAGAAATAAGGTCACATGTATCTTCAAGGTAACTTTCAAAGGTCAAGGTAACTTTCTAAGGTTAAAGATAAGATCAAATTTATGCTGTAGGTAACTTTCAAAGGTCAAGATAGGGTCAAGTGTGTGCTCAAGGTCAAGATAAGGTCAAGTGTATGCTCTAGGTAACTTTTTAAGGCTAAGGTCAAATATTGAGTCAAAGTAATTTTCTGGGCTGAGTGAATGCTCCAGGTAATCTTAACTCATTCACCCCTAAAGACGCATTTGAACTCTTCCAACTCAAAGGTTGGAATAGTTCATTGTGAAATTTCAGGGGTGAATGAGTTAAGGTATATGCTTTATGTATGCTATGGCAATGCTTTATCCAGTGTCAGACCTAGATTCCCAGTTCTTTGTAATGTACAATGTGTTAGAGTTGTAGGCTTGGTCACCAGGAAATGTATGTAAATGTGTTGTAATAGTATTCTACATGATCTAATTAGTAGATTCATTAAAACTTTAGCAGCTGAATTTCATTTAGCTGAGGTTTCCTGGTAGACTTGACAATTAAACTAAGTTAACTGATATCAAGGGTTTCACCTTACCTAAAAATGTAACTGTGGATTTGAAACGTTTTACTTGCATGACAATAGCTTTAACTCATTTACCGCTGAAACTTCATATTGAACTACTCCAACCTTTGAATTGAAAGAGTTCAAATATTGTCAGGGGTGAATGAGTTAATGAAGTATTCCTGAGAAGAACCTCATACCTTGCCCAACTGTTCATGAAAAATATTATAGATGAAATAAAAAAAAATAAAAAAATCAACAAAAGTGTTCTGAGAGTAAAATAATGTGTTAGGGCCAGGCCAAGATTTGAACCCTGGACATCCGATCCTAATTTAGTCGTTATAACCAACAAAGCTGCTGGATCAGTAGACGTTCCTTAGCCCAACCCCTGTACAGAGAGGATACTGTACTTCCTGTTATTTAAGGATGTGCCAGGTTTTGGTGGTAGAAGAAAACTGGAGTGCCTGAAGAAAAAGTACCAACCTGTGGCCAGTGCCTGGCAACTGTGCCGCGTAGGCCTCAAGTCCTCCACCCAGTGGTGGAGGGTCAGTGATCGTAGATGCCTTAACCCCTCGGCCACCGCAGCACCCTTTCTGGGTTAAAATTTTCATAGAGTGAAGTTTCAAAACTCAACATCAACTGTTCAAAGTTTCATGAATATTTCTTTGCCTAAGAGACAAATTTTCCTCACCAGAAGCATTGCTTTCAATTCCCTATGAAGACATGTAAGATATGGACATACTTTTTGTTAAGATATTTGCACGAAACAGCAACCAGGAACAAACATTTTTGCAGAATAAGGAATTAAAGGATTTTTTTGTGTTATTCAGGTTGAATTTAGTAGAAATGCATAAAACGGTGCACAGGTGAAGATCTTTTTCATAAATAGCTTTGTTTAATGGGAGGTTTTGTTTTAGACAAGTTAAACTCCAATACTGAGTACTGCCTTGTCATCAGTCAGTATTGATGACCGGGTCGGGAGACTTACCTTATCAGGTGTCACCCTCGTACCTGTACGTCCCCACACATACCTGTCATATCTACCTGATGTATTGGCCCCGTGTCAGGGATTAGGGGACGACAAAAGATAATCCCCGCTGTCATGTACCTGTCACCAGGGTCAGTCCAGACTCCCCGGGGGGTGGGGGCAGGATATAGTACAGATCAGGGGACGACTTGATTCCTGTCCAACTGCAAACAAGGAATTTCAGGTGGTGGGGGGAACTCGTATGAATACATTTTACTGTACCGTATGAAATATTTGTCCATTCTTTTTTCGTCAAATTCATTTTTGCAAATTTTTTTGGTTCATACGAAGTTAACTGTCTGTGCCTATATTGACTTAGTTAGTGAATTGTTGCTTGATCACAAAATGTAAATGAACATATTTAAGTGGAAATTTTATGTTTTCATGCTTTAATAATGTGCAAAATTATGATCATGACAATTGAGATTTCTGTATATTGTTCTGTTTTGCATATATTGCGGTGGTGCCAATTTATCAGTGTTCTAATCTGTTTATTCGCAATGATTTCCTAAAATTTGAGTACGCTTAAATAAGTATGTTTACTGTATTTGCTGTTAGTGGTTCCAACGAGATCATGAAATCCATGAAATTTAATACACAATCAAGGTTTTGGGCCTCACAGCATGCCTAGCATTGGTGTCATTTAGCAGAAGATCTTTGAACATTAACAAGTTCACAATGTATCAATTTGGCTTCCTTCTGATGATTTGAAATTGTCTGTGTGGAACCACTTGTAATTGAGTTGTTGATTGGAGATAGCTTCATAAGACACAGTATGGTTGTTAAACTCATTCACCCCTGAAGACACATTTGAACTCTTCCAATTCAATGTTTGGAATAGTTCATTATGCAATTTCAGGGGTGAATGAGTTAATGAACAATGGCATGCCGTGTGCTAACACTGTATACAGGGATATTTTCGCCTTTTTCGCCCTCCCTTAGAAATGAGGGCAACTTGATAATTACAGCGAACATTTGTAAACAACATAATATACATAGTACTTCAATGTTAGGGGAGAAATTAAAACTGGGTGAATATGGATTTTACCAGCGAAGGGCGAAAGTTTGACTGGGTGATAATTTCCCGTTTTACTAATTTGTACGTCTAGTATTTGCGAAACTTATCAGTATGTCTTCATTTTGTATGTTTACAGATCTCGAGAAACTCCATAGACGCGGTGAAGAACTACTTCCGAGAAGACATGCTGAAACAGGACTGGCAACTTATGCTTGAACTCAAAAAGAAGTTTGAAATTTTATGAAATCCCCGGATATCCGCACACATGTGATTGGATAGAATAAGTGGCATTATATGAAAGTCAGGGACTTGGGGGGGGAGGGGGTCCTGAAAGACTTCCATTCCGGAAAATATGACATTTAGATCTGGTTCTTGGAAATTTCATGGAATTTTCCATGCTTATGAGTGTTTTGGAGAGAATATCGTGCATTGTTGCTTTTTTCTTGCTAAGCAAAGAAGAATATCGGTATGTGAGTAGGAGAGAGAGAAAGTACTGTACATGTTATGTCAAAGAAAAGGGATTACTTCTATACACTGTTAAGAGGAACATGATAAGTAATTAGAATTGGCACATGGACATCTATAGGGACAACTCTGATCATACAGAAATAGCTACAGTTACCCCTGGAAGGATGGAAGCTTGGTATAGTTATTTGTCAAAACACAACTGAAAAATTGACTGAAAATTTCTGTTCAACAAAATGTTTGTCATTCTTTTTTTTTTCCCTTTCAACAAGAAGGCCATTGAGTATTATGATGGTGTCCAATGGAGAAACATATTAAGAACAGAGGACGCAAATTTGCTTACTGAAAATGTTGTTAATGATAGGCTAACTGACTTGGAGATTAAGGAAGTTTCTGGTGTAAGGAACAGTTTTTGTTTACATCATATTTTCATTTAGAGAACAGTAGGCTAACTGACTTGGAGTTTAAGGAAGTTTCTGGTATCAGGAACACTTTTTGTTTGCATCATATTTTCATTTAGAGAACAGGGATTTTACAGACTTGGATTGAAGAAAAAATCATTGATTATAGTCTTAGGACTAATCTTTTTTTTTAAAGTTAAATCCCAAGCAAGGCAATAATTAAAATCATATCTGAATGAAAGACATATCTTGAAAATATTGAGCCCCTTGCAATGTTTTTGGCTTCAGTTTGATATTGGAATGTCAATACCAACACTGACTAACAAGGCTGTTTAAATTTTTGTGAACTGATCAGACAGATCGAAATTATGTTTGATATGAACACTTAAAATAGTGAAATTATCAAGAGTCTTTAATAACCTCACTTTTGTTAGATCCTGAACTTTGCATGTCCTGATAAAATGATGTAATGAACCGCTATATGGTATGGAACATAGCCAACATGTGATTTATAGATTTCTAGCGAGAGTTATCTCCCTTGAAAATGATGTTTCAGAATTATCACTAATTACCATCATCAATGCATACAATCTTGAGGTTTGGTATGCGATGCATTAATCAACAAAGTCAAAATCACCGTGCATAAAAGCTTTACTACAAGTTTGTTAATGAAGAACTCTTTTAAAAGGAGACACATTTCAGAGTAGGTAGCAGACATCTTTAATTATTCCCGACTAGGAAATGTATAAATCATCAGGAAAGGTAATTTGGTATTTTTTCATTGATACTGAAGACTTGTTGACTGGGGAAAAACATTTATAAATAAATCTAAAGAAATGGTATGTGATATCTTTATCAAAAAGATATAATTGTGATTTTAGTTAAGGATGCCTGTATAAATGTCAAATTAAATGAAAAAGGACATTGATTCTTTCTGGCAGCTTAACGTTGTCAACATTTGTATCCATAACTGTATCAAACTCTGCAGTGATCAACCAGGGCTAGACAATAATGAAGGGTAGCCTGAAAGTCTGACACTTGTGAAATCTCCAGCTGAATTAGTGGTTCTAAAATCAGATAACATTGACTTGTCAAAATTTGATATTGCTAATTTTGTTGAATAATATTGGGTTAGTGAAATTTGAATATGGACTGTTAAAAATGGGAAAGTACTACCCAAATGGACAAGTGTTATTCAAAATTAATTTCTAGCCCTAAACAATGTGTCTGTGGTCAACATGTGTACCTTAGCTACACAAAACTCTGCAGTCTACAGTGGTCAACATCTTTAGCCATGACCACTCCAATTTGTCAGTGGTCAACATGTGTGTCAATAACTTCAAGATTTGCCAGAAGTCAGCATGTTTGTCCATAAGGGGACACAACTTTGAGTATTTCTATTCGTAATTTTCAATCCAGATGAAATTTGGAATAAAATGTGTTTACCCAGGAGAACCCACCTGAGATTAATTGTGAACTGACGATTCCATGTATTGTTAAAGTGCTAAAGTAACCAAGGGAGATAACTCAATAGTGCTGAGTGCTGTTAGATTTAGTGATGCACCTCTGCACATGTAGAACATACTCACTGGTACTAAACCAAACAACATATACAAAGACAAGATGGAAAATTTCCATGATTTTTAGAATGCTTCAAAATTTGGGGGATATTTATTTTTTCAAAAAATCATCATTCTCTCCCAAAATGCTTCACTTGCAATTGCTGTCGGTGAAAAATGTATGAGGAATAAAGTCTATTTCTTCGGTACTAAAATCTGTGTCTTGTGTTTTCTTTAGTTCTCCAAGGGTACTATCATAGGGTATTGTAAGTTAGTGCTCTGTCAGTCAGCCTCTCATTGGTTCAGTGTATCATATTGACTGGAACCTATCTGATATACCCTGTCACCTACAATGGGCAAAGTCCGTATGTTAGTACTTCATGTGATGTGGTACAGTCACATACTGAAATGGGGTTGTGTACCCTATATTTACAGAGTTAGCGCCCTTTGTTCACAGATCTGTTCTTTATATAATGGGTGTATTGAATACAGTACTCTTCTGATGGCCAAGTGCCCTAACTGAAATCGGGTATCAGCCCGTCTATCTTATGGGCCTTTGTTTACATTTTTTTTACCAAAACTGTATTTGCAAATGACAAAAATGATTCTTGGTCGTCATTTGTGCCCCAGTAATGAGGGGAGGTAGCTCTGCCAAATAAAAAGGTGAAAATAAAGTTGATGCAAAAATCCTATCAAGGAAAATCAAATGGTTGGGTAATATGAGGACAACAAATAAACAAACTATACAATATCATATTGCATATAGTCTCTCCTAAAGGATCCTCATACCACTGGCTAAACATGTCACAAAGTATTGGAAACTGCTTTTTTCCCATCATGTCTATAGCGTCATTTCGTATTGCAGAGTTATCTGCTCTTGTGAGCAGGTATTGATTGTTACGTCATTAGTTTGTGTGAGAAAATTACATCGTTTTCTCGTACCTGCTCACAAGAGCAAATAACTCTGCAATACGAAAAGACGGAATAGCGATGATAAATCATTTATGAAAAGAAAACCATACCTTGCGGAACTTATATGAAAAGTAATGAAGATGATATAAACAAAATATCATCAGCCAATGAGGCTTGCCAGGTTTCAAACCCAGGACCTCAGATTGTTATACTTTTGCTATAATCAATTGAGCTACCTGATCAACGGAATTGCATGGTTGCGCTAGTCCAGATATGCTAGTTATATCCGAACGGAAGTTGAGGTGGAGTTTACTGTTTACAGGAAAACGGCAGTGCAGTGGGACAGGAATCCTTAATACAGGTTCATTTAACATTAACATTAACTGATAATAACCAGATGGTCTTTTAATAGAAGTGTTTCTTGAGAAGGTTTAACCCTAAATCAAATCATAAGATATCTGAAATATAAAATAACTTCAAACTATAACATGGCATTTGATCTGAAAAAGATAAAAAAAAAAAGTACCTTAGAAAAAAAAGTTTATTTTAAGTCAATCAATAATCATTGATTTCAATATTTTGTTTTTAAGAAAAGTTGTTTAAGTAGATGTGATATAAACATTTATCAATGGCAAATTATAATTTCCAATCAATGCTAAACGAAATTCAGAGATAATCTCATTTAGTTTAAATGGTATTTACTGATAATGTACAATGATTGTTGTATACAGATACATGTTCAATTAGGGTTCGGAAACTAGTACTATTTGATGTCGATTGAAGCTAGTCCGTTGGTTGTGTAAAACAGTTTCAACAAAACCATATTAGATAACCATACTTCGTTAACTGCTGACTGTTGAACACTGAAATGTATTACTTAGGACCCCCATGTCATCATTGGCGTTTTCTACGTATTTTCCAATCCAATACACATTCGGGCGTAGCCGCCAATTCTCTGTAAAGTGTGAATTGACTTTTGTAACCGCACGTGGGTAGTAGCACTGGTACGTTTAAGTCGGCGTATCAACTTCCATCTATTAAAGTTTACATATTATCATAAACAATATTACGAAATTCCCTATATCTATCAATCCCGACCGTACAGAGGGACAGGGGGTCGTGTGTGTAGTGGCCTATCCTTGGCATATTTCGTCACAAGAATGTTGTTCATACTTTTCCTATTTCTGTCACAGGACCTTGAAAGGTATACACGCATTAAACTTCAATACATATTCATGTTCATCCCAGGGATTAGATAAGACCGTAGTTTATAATAGACTGTTATAAAAAATAAAACGATTTTTTCTTCATCAAATACTAGTACAATAATAAAGGCTCATCATAAAACGTGAAAAAGAAATAAAAATAAAACGGTTTTTTTCTTGAAAATCGTTTTTCATGGTCGGAGGAAAACCAATATATAAATTTCATAACTTAAACTGTGAACATTGCAATTAAAAATGTAATTGGACTCGAATCATGACTATAAATATTTGTAGACTTGAGTCGAGTCTTATCATGTTTATTTTAATCTGCAAAATTTCTCGTTTTAAGTCATGCAGCATCAATATTAAATTTCTGACGATCATAAAAATGTTTTTAAAGTAAAAAAAAACGTTTATTTTTTATTAGTTTTTAACGGTCGACACTAAACCTTTATAATATAATATATGTAGCCGTATATTTCATTCAACATCCTGTGACTTTTCGTTGAATTTGTTATATTAGGTCCGGAATTTGATGTATTCGGGAATCTTTTTTTCTGAGTATCCATCACGACATCCGCTGTCGCAATCCACGCACTTTAGTCTTGTAGAAAATATGACACCGTGGCTTGTAGTTATGAATATCACTAATAATGCCTTCACGATTAAACAGATATCGGTCACTCTCTCACCGGAAACGGTGAAACATTTTTGTCACTCCATAATTAATTGTGTTTGCCGCTTGTCCTTGTCAGACAGGTACGCATCTACCGACTAAAATTATCACCCTGAAGTGTAGACGTGGTGAATCAATCTATCTCTCTACAAATGGGTTCCCGCCCTCACTCCGTCCGCGCATGCGTGCGTGCGTGCCTCGTCCCCGGAAAATTGTGTATTTCTTTCCTGTAAAGCAAAATACATATCTAGAATTTAACTTCAAATGGAAAAGGATCCGGAAACCATTTACAAAAACTTACATAAATTCGTTTCCTATGGTGACAAAAACTTGTTCACGATGGACAGTATACAGGATACCAAAGACATATTAAGCCATAGCATTATAAGACTCGTATGTACCGGAGGTGGATAGAGAATTTCTCCCGAGGGGACCATAAATTGGGGTTAAACCCGAGGCTTCACAAGGTTTTCTGTAATGAAGTTCAGCTGAAAAATCCTCCAGACGTACTCTAACTGATTTTGTATCAAAACGAGTGTAAAACAATGAGACATCAACAAAGATACACGACTCAGCAAAAATTCACTCTACAGCAAATATACACGACTCAGCAAAGATACACTCTACAGCAAAGATACACGACTCAGCAAAGATACACTCTAAAGCAAACATACACGACTCAGCAAAGATACACTCTAAAGCAAAGATACACGACTCAGCAAAGATACACTCTACAGCAAATATACACGACTCCAGCAAATATACTCTCTATAGCAGAGATTCACGACTTAGCAAATATACACGACTTAGCAAATATTCACTCTATAGCAAATATTCACTCTATAGCAAACATTCACGACTTAGCAAAGATACTCGACACAGCAAAGATAAATGTCTCAACAAAGATTCACTCTATAGCAAAGATACACAAATCAGCAAAGATACTCTCTATAGCAAAGATTCACGACTCGGCAAAGATTCACGACTCGGCAAAGATTCACTCTATAGCAAATATACACGACTCAGCAAAGATTTACGACTCAGCAAAGATCCACGACTCAGCAAAGGTTCACGACTCAGCAAAGATTTATGACTCAGCAAGGATTTACTCTATAGCAAAGATTTACGACTCAGCAAAGATTCACTCTATATCAAACATTCACGACTTAGCAAAGATACATGACACAGCAAAGATAAACGTCTCAACAAAGATTCACTCTATAGCAAAGATACACAAATCAGCAAAGATACTCTCTATAGCAAAGATTCACGACTCGGCAAAGATTCACGACTCGGCAAAGATTCACTCTATAGCAAAGATTCACACTTGGCAAAGATTCACTCTATAGCAAATATACACGACTCAGCAAAGATTTACGACTCAGCAAAGATTTAATCTATATCAAACATTAACGACTCAGCAAAGATTTACGACTCAGCAAATATACTCTTTTTGGCAAAGATTCACAACTCAGCAAAGATTCACGACTCAGCAAAGATTCACTCTATATCAAACATTCACGACTTAGCAAAGATACTTGACACAGCAAAGATAAACGTCTCAACAAAGATTCACTCTATAGCAAAGATACACAAATCAGCAAAGATACTCTCTATAGCAAAGATCTCGGCAAAGATTCACGACTCGGCAAAGATTCACTCTATAGCAAAGATTCACACTTGGCAAATATTCAATCTATAGCAAATATACACGACTCAGCAAAGATGTACGACTCAGCAAAGATCCACGACTCAGCAAAGATCCACGACTCAGCAAAGATACACGACTCAGCAAAGATACACTCTACAGCAAAGATACACGACTTAGCAAAGATACTTGACTCAGCAAAGATAAACGTCTCAACAAAGATTCACTCTATAGCAAAGATACACAAATCAGCAAAGATACTCTCTACAGCAAAGATACACGACTTAGCAAAGATACTTGACACAGCAAAGAACTCAGCAAAGATACACTCTACAGCAAATATACACGACTCAGCAAAGATGTACGGCTCAGCAAAGATCCACGACTCAGCAAAGATACACGACTCAGCAAAGATACACTCTACAGCAAAGATACACGACTTAGCAAAGATACTTGACACAGCAAAGATAAACGTCTCAACAAAGATTCCCTCTATAGCAAAGATACACAAATCAGCAAAGATACTCTCTATAGCAAAGATCTCGGCAAAGATTCACGACTCGGCAAAGATTCACTCTATAGCAAAGATTCACACTTGGCAAATATTCACTCTACAGCAAATATACACGACTCAGCAAAGATTTACGACTCAGCAAAGATTCACTCTATAGCAAATATACACGACTCAGCAAAGATTTACGTCAACAAAGATTCCCTCTATAGCAAAGATACACAAATCAGCAAAGATACTCTCTATATCAAAGATCTCGGCAAAGATTCACGA